TTATAAAATGTGCAAATGGTATTATTGACATTGTTAATATGTTTTTCACTATGATGTATTTTAATTGTTATTATTTTGTAAGTTTAACATGATTTATTTTACTCCTATAAAGAAAACATGATTTATTTTACTATTTGCTAATACATATTTGTGAAGTTAATAACATATTCAAATTATTTGTAGATGTATTTTCTTGCTGCAATTAAAATCACTACTAAGAAGGATTGGTTACAGGGTTTCGAAGGACATAAATAAAATTTTTTAAAGAATGAATTAATGTTCATTAATGTTGCTCAAAGGGGTGATACTAGAATTTTATCTCCTATGTGCACCGACTTAAAAAAAAATCTTTGATTATTTTGATTTCATAACATTAAACTCAAAGAAATAATCTTTCTATTATATTAATACGGAATTATATATATTTTATTAGAAGAGTATTAATGTGTACAATTAGATTAAATAATTATTATTCAAATATTTTTTTCAAAATTTTTAATTATTTTACTACAAATGTTCTATTATTTGATGTAAATCGGAAATAATCTAGCTAATTTATAGACTGAACCTAAAAATTAATTTATAGATAGATTGTATCCAGAAATTAATTACAATAGCAGTGATTAAAATAGTCATAATTTACTGAATTTTAATGTCCAACTGCATAGTTATAAGGCTAACAGTGTATAACTATAATATTAATCTTTAGTTGATTGTTGTCCATCATACAAATATTAAATTGAGATTTTATTTATTAAATTTAATATAATATTTAATAATATTTTTTTAGTAAGTAATAATTTGATTTCAATAAACGAGTATAAATGATACTCAAACTCAAATAGAGAGAAATTCTAATCAACTAACATTTATAAAACAAAATAAAGGTTTGGTGTACCAGTCTAAATAGGAATTTGAACTCCGACGATTATATTGGATAGACATTTATTTCCACGACATGAAAATAATAGATGACATACAAAGATCAAAGCTAAAAACACTACTTTTAAAAATTACTGTATTTCGAATCAATCACATATTCTAAATAGTTGCTAGTCAAATGACTTTTATAGTTTGTCGCTCCCTCTTATCTTTCACCTTCTGACTAAATAGAAGAAAGCGAAAAAACTCATCCAAGCTCAATTCTTCTTTTACGTCCAGCCAAGAAGAAACCGCTACCCACACTCTTCTACTAATAACACACCTTGTGAAAAGATGTTCCGCATTTTCCTGTTTTGCAGTGCAGAGAATGCAACCTTTATCCCTATTCTTTGTAATTATTTCTCTTTTGGCTAATTGATCGCGAGTAGGTAGTCTATTGATTAACAATCTTCAAGCAAACATTAACACATTAGACAATACCTTTGTTTTCCAAAGATCCTTAAGTGCAGCCGCCAAATCCTCCCTATCGACACTTTCTGCACGTAAACTTCAAAAGCTTCAGAGCAACACTTGACGGTAAACAAACCACTTTCTTCTTCTGACCAATAAAACTCATCCATGATATGCTGTTGTAAATCCGTCGTCAAAATATGATTGCAAAACTGATCCCAGATTTCCAAATTCAATTCACTGTAATTATTGACAACTGATTGAAGATTCCTTGCCACTGACTCTCGTTCCATTGACCTGCTTCAGCCACTGACATAAACTGGTCCACGACATCTTCGAACAGCCCTAATACTGATATAGTACGCACAAAATATGTTATATTTAACTATTTATATTATTAATATTTATATTTTAAAATTATTTTTAATTTAATGTACAATGTTTTTTAAGATAATATATGAAAAACTAAAATATATATTATTGATGTAAAACGATTTTGATAAAACAATTTTATTTTACTTTTAAAAATATGTCTTTCTTTCAAAAAATAAATAAAAATTGGTAAAATTATTTTGTTTTTCTGATTTATATTTTTATTATATTCTAAAAATAAAAGCGTGTGTACCACTCTAGTACCCGTGCGAACGCACGAGTATCCCACTAATTTAAGGTTAAGCAAGTTGGTGAAAGTCAATATCTTGCGTGTGTCTTGAATTACAAGTTAGAAAATTTAAGACCAGATTTTTTTAAAGCTTAATTCGAATCAAACATATGGCCGATTCGAATCAAACATCAATTTGAAATTCTAATTTCATCCCAGACTATTTGATTTAAATCAAGGATATATGTGATTCAAATCATATGATTCCTTGAGTCGGATCACAAGACTTTATGTTTCGAATCATGACAATTAAACTTTTGTTTAAAACAACTATAATTTAAACCACGCTTTTGCTTAACTTGAATCATGAATACAAATCATGATTCAAATCAAAATGTTAACCTCTTCATTTTACTACCTTGATTTAAGCCATTCTTTTTGTTGATTCAAACGATAAGTTCATAAATTTGCTCAAATTATTTTGTTGTTTTCTTCATATTTTTGTGCGTAACTTCTAACACCTATATAATTTATTTATTTTGTATCATTTCAAAGATGATGTCTCATAACGAGATGATGCAAAGATTGCCATTTTTCATAGAGAGATCTAATGTGGTCAAGTCTATATTTTCACAAATCTTGAGAAAAACCATGAGAGTTTCTCCTTTCACTAATATTTTTTTCTCCTTAATTCAATCTTGTGAAAATTTTCTTATAATATTGATATTATGAGGTTTAAGTTATGTTGTGTGAGACTCTTTATATAAGCTTCATCATCTTCAATCTTGAATCAAGAAATCATTGTTTGAATGCCCAATCTAAAGATTGAATTTGAGTGGTACATATCCAAGATACATTAAAAAAGATAGTGTTTTTTGTGTATATAAAAAATATAATTGTTTGACAATTCATCAAGGAGTAATTATGTAGAACAAACACTCAAACAAGGAAGTCAGTAAACATTACTGCTTAACAACTTGTAGTATTTAGATTATTGAGTATTCTCGTGGAAGTTAACCCCATTTTTTTAATTAATATTATATTATATTAAAAAATATTTAAATTTTAAATTAAGAAATTCTTTAAGCCAATATTTATTATTAATTAGCTTATGGCTCATATAGTATCAATATGTTTTCATTTGACCAATGGATATTGATACTTATGATATAAATATTAATATTTTCTCTATACTAATCAATCTGGGACTATTATTGCCACTGAACACCACCAAACACATCCACCAAACACCAACTTGCAGTCGTGTAGTTCTAAACAGAATTGACCCTACAACACCATAACAATTTATATTGCAAAAGGCAATCCCAATCCATTATTTGATATCATTTTTATTTGTCACATCACTACTTTCGCTTTGTCATCCTGAACGAAACTTGTAGAGTTGATATGGTTTTTACAGTATTGCATGAATAGGATATCACGAAGCTTGGATACATAGTATATGATATTATTTAGTAGGCTAAATAAAATTTCAAACACTTGTTGTAGTTTATAGTAGGAACCATAAAAACTACTTTTATTCAAAGATAGCCAAAGCTATGCTTATTTCATGGGAAAGTTGTGGGTTGTATTATCAATGGCTATCTAAAAGGTGGAAAGGGCTACGAGTTATTGGAAGTGGAAACTGGATGATCAATGTTCATCAATCGCAAATGTATTATTTTTAGTGAGTCTCGTCAAGAGAAGAAGAGTAAAAACATGGGGATGAAACTTTTAGAAACTATAACAGAGAAGACTCGGTTAGAGTTAGAGTTTCTTATTATGGATACTAGTTGTAGTGAGGGAAAAATTACATAGACCTCTTATTATCATTTCACTAATGATAATTTAAGGAGGGAGATTATATCATCTCAAATGGACAATTATGTTGGTCATAGGTGTTATGTTTTCAATGTGATTGCAAGGTTGCAAAACTCATAAGTAAGGACCTCCAGGAAGACATTCGAAAGGAATGAGAGTCATAGATAGTTGAAGAATCATGTTTGTGGGCTTGTTAGATTACCTAAGCAAGCAAGTGGATGTAAATGGCAAGATCAAGATTCAAGTGTGGTTTGAATTTGATCAAAGGTATTATTGAGAAATGATTCAACATGACAGAGAACAGCAAAGTGGTTGATGGATAAATTAGCATCACCGCAGGTAAAGGTGGAGATTGTTGAAGTATGCCTCAAAACTTCAAATGATAAAGAGAAGAAAAAGACATTTTCTGACATGATTGATTTTTAGTCAAAAAGTCATCGATCAATGTTTGATTTGGTCAAGTGTTGATTTTATCAATAACTCTTCCATTTTGTTCCGATATCATTCTTGAGAGTGATTTTTGAAGCTATTGTTTGTGAAATCAGATTGCAGAGTCCCTAAAAACATTGTCATTACAAAAAGAAATATTTAAAGGTAAAGATTTTTCCCCATGCAACTCTAAACTAGACTTAATTTAGGAATTGGTTGGATACTATATACATATTTTACTGATCGAGAAATATAAATAAGTAAAAATCTAAAATTAAAATTATGTGTGACTCTACGTTTTATTTCCATTAATGTAAAAGAAATAAATTGGTATGATAATGAAAATATTACTTGAGATCAAGAATTTGCATTATATGTATCAATTTTAAGATCTTATTTATTTGAATGGTGTGTGATTGATAGTGCGAGATTGTTAATATGTGTCGAAATACTTCGACATGTTATGTGAGAAATAAGAGATTGTGCATGAGGTAGTGCCACCCTAAACTCTCTAGCAGAAAGGAACTACAGAAAAGAATAATTGAATCATCATGAATAAAAAATATGTTGAAAGACAAGCATTTACCTAAAGAGTTCTGGCACGAGAATTTTTTACTCCATGGAGAAGAAAGATAATTTTGTGTGGAGTTCAATGATTGCAGGATATACCATGAATAATAGAGGAGAGTAAGCTGTGCGTTTTTTCAAAAATACACGTAAACAAAAGGTGAAACATGATCAACATGTGTTATCTAGTACTTTGAAAGCCTATGTTGAAATAGAGGACTTGAACACTAGTATTCAAGTGCATGACCTAATGATAAAAAACGGGTATCAGAATAATTGTTTTGTGGCAAGTGTGTTGCTGACTCTCTATGCCAATTTTGGTGAACTAGGGGGTGTGGAAAAGTTATTTAGAAGGATTGGTGATAAAGACATTACAGCATGGAACTCTATGATCTTGGCTGGAGCTCGTCCGGGACACGGATCTAGTCATTCTATGCAACTATTGCAAGAGCTTTGTCAAACAACCTTATTGCAAATTGAAAGCGCCACTTGGGTTGCTGTCTTGAAGTCTTGTGAGAATGAATCAGATTTAGTTGCAGGTAGACAAATTATGTCACTTATATTGAAATCAAGTTTGGTTGGCAATGCACTAGTTCACATATACTCTGTGTGTAGGCTAATCGATGATGCATTTAAAGCTTTTGTTGACATTGAATGGAAAGATGATAGTTCACGGAGTTCTATTATTGGAACTTATAAACAAAACGACATGGAATTAGAAGCTTTAGGCCTATGCAAAGAGATGCTGAATGAAGGAGTCAATCTTACAAGTTATAGCCTTCCACTATGTTTTTCAGCTTGCTCGCAACTATCAGCTATATGTGAGGGGAAACAACTCCATGTCCTAGCTATCAAGTCCGGCTACAACCGTGATGTCTACGTTGGCAGTTCCATTATAGACATGTATGCTAAATGTGGAAACATTGAGGAGTCAGAGAATGTTTTTAGTGAACAATTAGAGCCAAATGAAGTGATTTTCAATGCCATGATATGTGGATATGCACATCATGGAAAAGCACAACAGGCCATAGAAGTATTCAGTAAGTTGGAGAAGAATTGTGTGGCCCCCAATCATGTAACTTTCCTACCCAACATTCCTTTATTATATAGTTTCTACCTTAGAAAGTACTCTTCATTGCACAAAAAGGTGATTGAAGAAATATAATATAAAACGCTCCGACCAGAATGTTTAAGCACGTAGCAGAGTAAACAAACATGAGACTTATCAAAGAGAATAAAAAGCAACATAAACAAACATGAGACTTATCAAAGAGAATAAAAAGCAACAGCTTCTATGGGTAGGAGACAACTCAATATTTTCCTCTGAAATCTTGTCATCCACATTATCACCCAAGTGCTGCTGAACAAGGTTGAAGAAATCACTCGGCGTTATCCAATCATGAACTAACTACCCCTAAATACATAAAACATATTAACAATGTCACCCATAAAATCCTAAGACGGCCCCTGCTAGTTGAAATGGTAACAAAATCTGGAAAGATTAAGAGACTTATCAGAAGCATTTACTGTAATATAAAATCCCAAACTATGAGTTACAACAAAAGACGTTATATTACTCCCACATTGGTAAAGTGACGAAAAACATAAACGTTTATATAACCAAATGAAGGAAACAATAAGCACGACCTTACTTGAACAGGATCTGTTCTATAGGCTCGTACTACTGTGTCCTTGATTTCAAAGGAGACAGGAACATAAGTCTGGTGGATGAATCTAGACCGTGTGATCAGAGCGTGATTAACGGCCAAGATGATCCGCATGTTGTGGTCATCATCTCAGCAGTAGATGATCGTTCTCAGTTGGTTACACTGGCTGGGGTGGTCACACGGTGATCTGACAGACTCTCAATCCCTTTTTTCTTTAGCAACAAAATCGATTTTCATAACAAAACAACAAACCCAGTTTTTTGATTTATTGAGAAAGGAGTGACATTTTTATTAAACCCAGTTTTTTGATTTATTGAGAAAGGAGTGACATTTTTATTGTTTACCTTGCTTTTGCTTCCTCCCTCTTCAAAGAAAGACCCAAGCTCAAACGTTTACGGAAAACTGCTTTTGGTTTCTTCTCTTTTTACAGAAGTGCTTTGAAGGTGGTAATGAACTTCAACATTGTCACACGTTTTGGGCCAATTACTTGAACAAACCCTCTTTCAATTAAATATACACTTTTTTTATATTTTATCTTTTTAAAGGATTTTGAGTTTTCTTAAGCATTATTGAATTTCATATTTCACTATATAAGTTAAATAAAATTAGACTTTAAAAAATATATAAATAAGAAAACAAATTTCTTTCCAATAGTAATAATCTATATAAATTTTTGTTCTATCATAAAAGAAAAATTTATAGAGGCCATTATTCAAAAAGAAACAAAATTAGTGACAAAAAATAAAATTTTAAATGTTAAGAGTGTTTAAATTTTTTAATCGAACAATTAAATATTGTTCTCTATGTTAAGAGGATTTTGAACCATGTTATTGCGGCTCAAGTCAAGTTTAGTGAAAAGAGTTTGGATTTTAACGCCCCCTTAAGAGTGGTAGTAATCCAACATGTTGTCTACATGCTCGGCATATTTGTTTGGATATTTAGTGTCGTCATAACTCTGCATATTTCGAGGCATCTCCAAAGACCTCGAGATCGTGCTATCGAGGATGCAGATGGATAACAAGTAGTTTTTTAGCTCCACAGTTGAAGCATATATGTCATATCTTTCCCTTATTTGAGGATGTTGATGAGTGGAACCTTCTCAATAGGCAAGCACTTGGTGCCATCTGATTATCGTTATCTCATAATGTTGCTTTTAACATTGCAAGGGACAAGACCATTTTTAGTCTTAGAAATTCTCTTTCTAGCATGTATAAAATAATGCCAGCCTCAAATAAGGTTCATTTGATGAGGTGATTGTTTACACTTCGGAAGACAGAAAGCGTATCAATTGCATTTCATATTAATGAACTCAATATTGTCACAACCCAATTGAGTTCAGTTGGAATTGAATTTGACAATTAGGTAAAAGCATTAATACTTTTTTCTTAACTGTCAGATAGACTGAGTGCTATTATTACGACTTTGAGTAGCTCCTCTGGAAGTCAAAAGATGAAATTTTATGATGTTTGTGATATGATTCTCAATGAAGAGATCTCACATAGAGAGTTGGGTGAATCGTCATCCTCTTCACTATTACATACAAAGTCAAGAGGAATAAATTCAACAAAAGGATATGGATGTGATAAATCAAAGGAAAGGTGGTCCAAATCCAAAAATCATCATAATATCCATAACTTAAAGACCATCGAGTGTTTGAATTATAGAAATGTGGGACACTACAAAAATCAATGTAGGCTCCCACCAAAGAATCAAGAGACAAAATAAGAAATAAATGTTTCTTTCACCTGAAGGAGAAGTGACACATTGATATGTTCTTGGGTGTTAGACTCTAGAGAATACTTTCACGCTACTTCCCAAAAAGAATTCTTTAATAATCATGTCCCTGGTAATGCCAATAATGTTTAGCTTGGTAGTGAATAATATTGTAAGATTATGAGAAAATGTTAAGTAAATATTAAATTGAATGGGTCCGTATAGGAATTGAAAAATGTTAGACATATTCCCGACTTGACAAAGAACTTAATCTTCATAGGCCAGTTGATTAGTACCAACTACACAACAATCTTCCATGGAGATGATTGGCAAATTTCAAAGGGATCAATGATAATTTCTCGTGGTTACAAAGAAAGACACTCTTTAAAAGACAACAAAAGCATGTCATTTGATTGCAGTTACAACAAATGAAAGTTTCAATCTATTGCTCTAGAGATTTGGCTATATGAGCGAGAAAATGGATGAAGTTTATGCACTGAAAAAGAAAACTACCAAGTCATCGGTCAATAGAAATTGACATGTGTGAAGACTGTATACCTGGAGAGTATAAAATAGTAGGCTTTCAGAAAAATGGAAGAACCCCAAAGAAAGAGAGGCTTGAGCTTATTCATTATGATGTTAGGGATCCAACGATTGTCTCATCTATTGATGATAACTCTAGGAAAGTATGGATATAATTTCTAAAGCATAACTCTTAAGTATTTAAGGCTTTCAAGAGATGGAAATCCATGGAGAAAAATGAGACAGGGTTGACAATCAAAAAGCTCAGAATCGACAATGACGTTGAATATTAAAACACCATATTCAAGAAGTGCTACTATGAGTACGGGGTCAAAATGGAGATAATTGTTTCAAGAATGCCACAACGTAATGGTGTAGCTAAGAGTATGAACAAAACATTGAATGAGAGACCTAGAAGCCTATGTGTGCAATGAGGCTTGCCAAGAAAATTCTAGGAAGAAATAACCAACACGTCAACTTACTTAATCAAATGAGGTCCATCGGTTCCATTGGAGCACAATATAACATAAGAGGTATAGAGCGAAAAAGAGGTAAAACTCCCACATCTTATATTTTTTCAGTTGTGAAAGATATGTGCACATTAGCGATCAAGGAAAAAATAAACTTGATCATGGATCAAGGAAGTGCACTTTCATTGGTTATGGTGAGGATGTGTTTAGCTATCAACTTTGGGATGATTAAAATAAAAATTTGATCTGCAGTAGAGACGTAATATTCAATGATAGAGTAATGTACACATACATGCATAACACAACCACCAGTAACTCAAAATTGAGTGATCCTACATATGCAGGGGTGGATAATATCCCTTAAAGTTCCACTATTGAAAGTTCCTAGTTAGAGGAACCAACAAAATTAAGCATCAGATAGCCGTTAGAGACACAAGAGCATCTAAGTCCTACTCATGTATTGAGAAGGTCTACTCAACCTTATGTTCCCAAGAGATACATGGAGTACATGTCGGTGACTGGTGGAGAAGAGCTTGAATATTATGAAGAAGAATGCAAGACCACATATGCTTATAACTGGGTGCTTGCGATGAAAGGATAGATAACGTCTTTAATTTTTTTTATAAAATATGGGAACTAACTAAGTCACCTAGTGGAAAGAAGGCACATCACAGTAAATGAGTGTATCATGTAAAAGAGGACCATGATGGATCTAAGCGATACAAAGGCCAACTAATGGTAAAAGGATTTCAGCAAAAGGAAGAAATTAACTACATCGAAATTTTTGATTCAATTGTGAAGCTCAATACTATCAAATTTGTGTTAAGTAATTTTGTTAGTGAAGATCTCTATCTTGAGCAGTTAGACCTGAAGAATGATTTTCTTCATGGAGATTTCGTTGAGGAGATATACATGCACCAACCTAAAGGATTTTTAGAAGAATGGAAAGAGAATATGGTGTGTAGACTAAAGAAGAGCTTGTATAACCTGAAACAAGCTCTAAAACAAAGTTATATGACTTTTGAAAGCTTCATGTATAAGAAAGGTTTCAACAAATGCAATATTGGCCACTATTTTTTTTCCAAGAGATACAAGTACAACTATATCATTTTTTTCTTTATGTCGATGACTTATTGGTAGCAAGTTCATTTAAGGGAGGGATCAGAAACTTGATGATATATTTGTCAAAAGAATTTGGCATAGAGGCTTTAGATCTTCCAAACATGATCCTTTATATGAAAATCATGAGAGATAAGCAAAAAGAAGTTTATAATTATTACAATTAGAGTACATAAATCATCTTTTGCAAGTATTTAACATGGACAATTCCAAACTTCACACTACTCTTGTATACTCTTGCAACTACTTTCGTTAAGTCAGAAACACCAAAAGGAATAAAACAGTAGCGTTTGCAATGCCAGGTGGAGCCACCGTCTGCTCCAGTCACCGGTTTCAATGTCTTCCTCTTCTTCCACACTTAACTCATCCCCAACTCACCAATTCAACTCAGTCTCGACTCGTTTCTATTCATGCCCAATCAATTTCATGTTTTTATACTAAGATTTTCTTTAAATCCAGTCAGTCTAGTGTTACTCCAACAAGAGCTACTCATTCTTCAACCACCACAACTTCTCAATCTTCTGATGTTCCTAACAACATCAACATCACACTTTTTCCCGATGATAAAATTTCCATTACTAAGGCATAGACATTGCTTCAACGATTAAGTTTAAATTGACTTATTTGAGTTTATCTACTTAAGTAGTTACTATTTGTGAGAAATTTTGAAATTCTCAATATACTTTTGCAATTTTAACATTATTTTGAAATATTAGTGAAATATTAGAGAGAATGTTGGATCACACCAATAGTAAAAAAAATAGTGGAAAATAAATTTAGGTGGTTTAAGCATGTAGAGAGAAGACATGTAGATTATGTGGTAAGGAGAAAAGAGTAGATTAGATGGAGATTAAATATGAGTCAAACAGCTAGAAATAGTGGAAGACCTAGAAAATCTATAAGAGAAGTTATTAAGAAAGATTTCGAGATTAACAATTTGGATAGAAACATGATCCTGGATAGAACATTATAGTGGTTAATTCATATAGCAGACTCTACTTAGTTGGATAAGACTTGATTGGTTTTGTTGTTGTATAGAGGAACTTATTGAGTATTTTAGATAAAATAGTTAAAATTTATGATGAATTATATCTAAGGGCTTGTTTGGATGAACATATTTGGGTTTATTGTACTTCGAAGTTTGTTCTAAGAGTCAATTTTGTAATAAGCCATTGAAATAGATTCTATGAGTTGTAGAGGTTATGCAACAATTTCTATCCTTTTCTCTTTGGTTGTAAAAATAGCTTATTTCCTTTTTTATTATAGATATAGCTTATTAATCATGATAAGCACTCATTTCCTATTTAATTGTAGAGATAGCTTATTAATCAAAGATAAGCACTAAAATCTAGCTTAAAAAAATGAAGGATATATATATATATATATATATATATATATATATATATATATATATATATATATATATATATATATATATATATATATATATATATATATATATATATATATATATATATATTGCATAGTTCAGGAAATTTGGCTATATGAGACACAAATGCAAGTTCAGTATTCATGTCTTAAGACAATTTCAAATAAACACTTCCAAACACACTTATATTGAATAGTTATTTAAGTTGATTTCACAAGCTCCCTAAGTATTAGTGAAATATTAAGTTAAGACAATTCCGATCACCATAAAAGAATCAATTTCAACCAATGAATTGGTGAATGTTGACAAGAAGTGAATGTTTGCATTTGGTTTTGTAGGAGATTACTACAGACTTATATGATAGCCACCAAATTCTGACTTATGATATGCATGCGTGCTTTGTGCTGATGCACTTGCTGATCAAGATTGGTTTTAGGCCTGTGCAATCTAACCTGTTTGCTTGGTATTCGTTTTCCACAACAGTAGTGCCACTTCCAATTTTCCACAATTGAATGGCGGTTACAAAATTGAAATTACTCTGCCATTATTTTCCCAAAATCATTCATCCACTTTCACTATTTCCATAGTCATCAGCGGTTACGTTCTTGAAATCATGGTTTCAAAAACGTTTGAACGATCTCTCAATCATGATTTTTACAGTGGCGAAACTGAAGATGCTCCCATGGATTACTACTCCGACTACGATGATGATGCTGATGATTATTTCGATGAAGGAGATGCTTCTGACCATGCCGACTCTCGTAGACCCGAGGTTTATACCTTTTCACGGTTTCTTATTCTTTTTCTGTATGTTGTTGTGTATTTGGAATTGATTTTTTGTTTTGGTATTTTGCAGATGCGTTGGTGAGAAGGGTACAATACGTATGGCCAAAAATGCAAATGTGATGCGCGGGAAGAAATCATATAGAAACGTGTAACGTATACCTTTTACTTAGAAACGTTTTCAATTTATTTACAACATATACTTTTTAGGTTTACAATTTATTAATTTGTTAGAAGGTTACACTTTTTCTTTTAAGTTGGAACTTATATCAAACTCTTGAAAGTTTAACTTTGCCGACAACTGATACATTCCTGAACGATTTAAAATTTGTAGGAAAAACTGCGGGTTGGTAAGCTCATAAACTTTCATAGTTGTATCCTTAATAATTTGTAACAAACTGAGGAGTAGTAATTCCATTGACAATACTTCTTTATTTTTTTTTTGCATAAGGTTGTCGAGATAACACATGATTGGATAAACATAAATCAGCCCTACTGACCGAACCAGTGATTGAATAGGTTCGTTTAAGCCGGTGAATAAATAATTGAAGTGGGATATGATCTGATACGATCTAATAATTCAGATGTTGCTTTCCTTGATGATACATCTGATTGCTGTATTTAGTTTTATGGTTTTTTTACAGCCTGCCAGATGATTCCCGTTGATGTCGTGTTTTTTTTTGTAATAATAATTAATCATAGTTATTTTCCATGTAATTTAGTAGGTTGTGTTAGTGATGTTTTTTATATATCTCATAAATTATGATATTGGTTTTGTAGTTTGCTCTAGGAAAATAAATTACCTTACATTCATGGGTGAATACTACATGATTAAGGTTGGACACGATTTTAAACTCTTGTGCAAAGGTATGGCTGAACTGAAACTACAACATGATTCTTGAATTGAGTTGGATGATTTCGTTATTGAATTGATGATTTCGTTAAGCTGGAGTTTTCTAATTTATGTTGTCTGTGTCGCTGCACCAGGTGCATATGAATTGATTTTGTATGATGATACACTTGAATGCTCGGACCAGTGGCATTAGTTTATGTCATGCTATAGGACTTATTGTTTTGGTATGTGAATCTAACAATGAGGTATGAACTGGTGCAATTAATGTTGTATATGCTGCAAGTCATGAAACTGGTGATGATGTAGCATAGCAGGCATAACAAGTTGAGGCTTGGAAAACTGATGTTGATAGTGTTTTTGATGCAGGGCAATTTGAAACGGTTTACGTTTGGTTAATAAGTTAGTAGATTTATTTAATTGTTATTCATGTGCATTTATGTAACACACCCACTGAGTGATCAAACCATAATCTCTGCCCGTCTTATACATGTATCTGAAATCGTGGAGTTCATAGGAACTTGTAATGGCATGAAGAATCTTGGATGTCTTGAGGAAGATCCTGATGTAACGATTGTGAAGCCCTGAGTTAGCATATATACTTTCATTGGTTTTGAAAGACCTGGGTCGGGCACCTGATATACAGCGTGGGATTACAAGAATTTTCCATTGCACTGCTACTCCATCTGAGGTGATAAATATATTTTTGTTGGATGTTCATGTGTTTCACTATATTATGTAATTTAATCAAATGTCCTATGTTTCTTGTCTTTTGTTGTTCACATTTAATATTTACATTAGCGAGGGAGATACAAATAGAGCTAAACATATTCTATTAACTTAATAACAAGATTCCCTGTTTGTGCATGTCTAGATTTTCATTGTTTGATGCGAGTGTTTGAACTTTTCTGGGTTAAGAAAGCGAATAACTGTAATAAAATGATTTATTTTGGCGAAAACATTTTTGTTGTTTTAGAATGAGAACTAGAGTTTTAATGCAGTACACGATGCATGTTGAAATTATCAACTTTGCATTAAATAGTGTAATGTATGTATTCATTTTTAACGCGCTGTCATGAAATTCTTCTTAATTGGTTACTAATACATTGTGTTTTCTTTGAATTTTTTTGACGCCGCAGCGAGACATACAAATATTTCGATCTTCAATTTTGCAGACAAAGTTTGTTTGATGATGTTGTACTCCAAAATTTGCCCTCTCATTTCTCAAGAAATCTCTCATAAGATCTCCATTGATTCAAGACTATACAAAGTTTGATCAGCTCAAGACACCTCCTCAACCACTAACAACTCAAAATTAGGGTTTGAGTTTGCACAAAGATAATTGAACTTTTAATGCCTTATATGACTTTCATGGATCATTTTGGATCCCCAAGATTACTCATGTCAAGTTTCAAGCTTTGGATCATATTTTTGCTCAGTCAGTTGATCAGTTGACCTAAAATCAGTTGTATTAGGGAAAAAGTCAATTGTGGTCAATTTGCAGTCAAACTTCATAATTTTTTATCCATATAAACATTATGAACTCATATATGTCATTTGATCAAGTTTGAATCACAATCCCTCAAAGAAATTTGATCAGAACACCAAAAGGGCAAAATGGTCAAAATTAGGGTTTTGATTGAGAAGGCCCAGTTCTTGACTTTTGACTAGGAAAATGACTTATTGGGTTAAGAAATGATCTCAAGGATTCAAATGCACCATCTTTACCTAATTGTATGGTTCAAATCACCTCTCAAGATCATTGGATTGACAAATGAATTTCAGTCAACTGATGAAAAGTTAGCTGTATACTGAAAAGTCAAACTTTGACTTTTTGATCAAAATCAAGTTTCAAAAATCATATTTCATCAATACATGTCAAAATGTGAAACTTTTTCATCAAGAAATTGAAAAGTCAAAATCATCTTTGAAAAGTCAAAATTCTAAGACTTAAAAATTTTTCTAAGTGTTAGAAAGTTAACATTTCTTTCATAACTTTGTGCCAAATTTGCACCATGATGCAAGATGATACTTGATCTCAATGTGCTTGCTTCTCCCATGCAGCAGTGGGTTCTTGGCAAGATTGATTGCATACTTGTTATCAATCATCAACTTTAGAGGTTTATTTACCTCAATCTTCAGATCTTGCAGCAAGTTCAAAATCCACACAGCTTGGCATGCAGTCAGAACGTCTGCAATATATTCAGCTTCACATGTTGACAGCTCAACAACAAGTTACTTCTTAGAACATCAAGAAATAGGACCTCTCAAAAATTTGAATAAGTACCCAGAAATACTTCTTCTGTCAACTTTGTGTCCACACCAATCAAAGTCTGAATAACTCTAAAGTTCTGATTCAATCTTTCTTCTAAAAGGAAATAAAACTCCATACTTTAGAGTTCCATTCACATACCTCATAATCCTGATAGAGGCTTGGTAACGAGACCACTTTGGTTTACTCATAAATCTGCTAACCATTCCAACTGCATAGAAAATATAAAGTATGATATTACGCAAATACCTCAAAGAACCAACCATCTGTTTGAAGGTTGTAGCATCCACATCCTCTCCATCAGAATTAGAGTCCAACTTCTGATTCGTATTAGTAGGTGTCATAGAAACTTTGCAATTCTCTAGCTCAAATCTCTTCAGAAGCTCAAGTTCATACTTCATCTGATGCAAAATGATCCCTTTCTCAAAGTACATAAACTCCATACCTAGAAAGAAACTCATTTTTCCAAGATCTGTCATCTCAAACGCATTCATCAGAACTTTCTTGAACTCAGCTATTTTTTATTCAGAACTTTCTGTGAGCAATATGTCATCAACATACAAACATACCAGAATCATATTACCTTTTGAAGTGTGCTGAACATAAACACCATATGTTAGAACATAGTTTGATTCTACAACCGTTGTAAGAGTTTTGATGATAAAAAACGCAAAGAAAAATTATGCTCCTTAAAATTATATGCTGTTTTGCAGAGAAGTTCTGATGGAAGAAGATCAGAAGATGCGCTAAAACGTTGTTTCAACTCTGATTATAAACATCTCTGATAGAAGTTCTAATGATGCAAATAGGACTCCGTGTTTCTGATCTACAAAGTTCTGAAGAAAGCAACAACAATTATCTTCATCTTCTGAAGTAAGCATGTTCTAAAGCGTTACAAATCAAATATTTCCATTTCAAGAGTAACGGTTGGAAGAGAACAATGATCTTTATTTTTGGAAAGCACCTTGTGATACGATGGCAGAACCGACTGTTTTTGGAAAATGCTGGTTTGCGTTTTGCGTTTTGTATTTGCAAAATGTCGCAGTAAGCAAGAGTCGCCACTGACTTTTATTTTATCCAAATGGAAAGGAAAAAAGCACAGAAAAATTCCTTTTTCGAGATTTTTAGTACGGGGGGTAGATTATAGAAATGGAAGGTGTTAGCACCCTTTCTATCCATGGTTTTCCATGGGCACTTAGGTACTTGCTCATCTTTTAAAATTGCTTGTGTGTGTTTGTTTTGAAAAGTTTTATTTTACTTCGTTTTAACCCTTGTATCAGTCCTCAAGAGTGTTACAAAGTTGTTTTTGAAAATTTTGTTTGAGAAAAAGTGTAAGTGTGAAAGTTTGATTTTTGAGCAAGTACCTATTAACATCTACCTACTCGAAAAAAGATTGTTTCTGTTCTTGTTTCCTTTAAATAGCGCTATCCCACTATTGAGAAATAGATAACACCATCGTTGGAATTTGTAAGGGTCAATTCGTAAGGGACGTACGATCACTAAAGCAATGTTAGGACGTCTTAGTAATAACCCTAATGTCTTAAGATCATATTTGAGGAAACATTTCCGAACGAGACTTTTGACCTTTGTTAGACAAGAGGGCAACCACTAAGACACCCTATACTTAATGACCGTTTACCGAAGGCAACCGAAGTGAGAGTATACCCTAGGCGTGCGCATGTGCGAGTGATTTGATTTCAGTTATTATCTTTGCACATTAGAGTTTGCTAGCCATTTTAAATTAACATGTAATCTTGTCATACAATTCTATTATCATACATCTAACAGTTAATATTTGCAAGAATTAAAATGCGAGAAATAAAACCTACGCTATTACAAGGCTTCGGTGTAGGGATTAATTACATAGCCAAAAACCCGTAAAAACGATAAATAAAGAAAACCCTAATTAAGCTATTACATACTGTAAGAAGTTACATTAATATCGCAAAAATGATAAACGCGCGCGATGAATCGAGAACGAGAAAAATTAGGGTTTTGACCCCAACTACCTAATTGTTATTTACAAGAAGAAA